GTGCGTTAGCAAGTCCAAAGGGCATCATTATGAACTCGTAATGCCCATACCTCGTCATGAACGTCGTCTTATACTGATCGTCAGGGTGCACTTTTGTCTGATGATATCCTGATTTCAGATCTATCTTTGAGAAATACTTGCATCCCTGCACACGATCCAACGAGTGGTCTATACGGGGCAATGGCTCTGCATTCTTAATTGTGATGGCATTCAGTCCCCTATAATCTATGCACATACGTAGTTCCCCCTCTTTCTTTGGGACAAATAAAACAAGTGCGCCAAATGGTGACGAGCTAGGCCTGATCCATCCTTTTTTTGGGAGCTCATCTAACTGTCTGCGAAGCTCCTCTAACTCCTTAGGAGACATCCTATAGACTGCCCCCTTAGGCGTTCTACTGCCAGGTTCTCTCTCTATATGGTGCTGGATCAGTCTGGGCATTACTCCTAAGGGTGATTCGGATAAATCGTTGTATTCTTCCAGTAGATTGATGATAGTAGGATGGATCTTGTCCTCTTCCTTTGGCTGATCAGAAATCGGCCTAACATAGGCTACGAATACCTGCTCTTCGAGTTGCTCCTTTCGCACAAGTCTAGCAAACGCAGGAGCGTTGAGGCAGCAATGGGCAAGGGGATTATCTACCCCAAACTCATGGAACAGGCATACTTGCTTGACTTCGCCTAACGCGCTAGGAAGCCTACACTCGTGCTCTCTAAGGTACAGTGTGGCTCATGCTGCCTCTCCCCAATCTGTATCTAGAACAATATCAAATGGGAGACTCTCTTCTATGAGGAGGGTCAAGGTGTGCAGTACCTTCTCTACCTTCCCATCTTTCTCTAGGCGAAAGTAGGCGTGGGCCCCCTCAACATACTCTTCAACGCGCATCCCGCTATTGTCTGCAAGGACGCTGACTACAAGTTCTTTTAAGTGTTGGACTTTCAAATTAAGCTTCTACTTTTTCAGCGCTTTACGACTAATATAGCTCCTAGTCGCCCCACTGTCTCTCAGGGCACCTACTCTAGCTCTAAAAAATTATATATCTGCGAGGATAAGTTGTCCTTTACTATCCTTCTTCATCTTGGCACAGGCTTGCCTCCTCTCTCTTAACTCCTCAGCTAAGCCTGTGAGGGAAGCGTCTAGAGAGACCCTAACACAAGCAGTCTCTGGACAGCTTACTAGACGCTGGCCTGCAACCTCTGCCATGGAGATATGTGGTGTGGGATACTCTATTTCGCGCGCACGCTCAGATCCACATATTCCTGGGGTAAGGGCAGTTGCAACCCCTACTGGCGGTTGTCTTTTGCTGCCCCAGACACAGCAGGGTCCCTATACTTAGGACAAAATCTGATAATGTGGTCTGGGTCCCCGCAGAATACGCATTGAAAACGGTTAATGCGTTCTTGCCATACTCTTTGATCTATACCCAAATCTAACCAGGGCGGGCCTTCGGGCCGGCCTGGATGCCACCTTCCCTGCCTGGGGGGTGACCGTCTAAAATGCAGACGGTTAGACGGGGGTCCTCCCCTTCCTCCCTCTTGGCGGTTGTCGTTGCCGCCAACCCCCTGCCCACCCTGTCCTCGGCCACTTGGGGCCCGGCCATTTTGGCCGGACCGTTGTCCTCCTCCTTGCGCCCTCCCTCCGGCCGCGACAACAGCGTAGGTTCTCCCCTGGCCTGCACCGCTCTTCTCCTCCTCCTCTAGTCCCCACTCGATGTTAGAGTGGGGAACCTCATCGGCACCACCTTCCTCCATTGTTAGTATCAGACTATCTTTGGCCTTAATCTGGCTCGAGATGGTGCGTCCCTTCCACGTTTTTCCCTTTGACAGATCTTTGTGCCAGAACGTGGTAACTGGCGATGCTTGGGCGGCAATGCAACTGCCTCCCGACTAAGAGTATCGTAAGTCATGCCCTGCTGGTTCTTCTTCTCGAAGAAATGTCCCTGGATGTTGTCAGGGAGGGCATGATAGAAGACGTTAAGAAGTTGGGCATTGGTTACTCCATGCCCAGGGACCGCAATCAGTTCATCCATGGCGGACTTGAGGGCGTGCACACTCTTCCATGGGCGAGTGTGTATCATTTGGAGTTTGTCGGAGGCTTTGAGCCCCCGCATCACATATGAGAATCGCTCCTTGAGCGATTTCAGGAACTCAGAGAGAGGTGTCAGTCTCGAAGACGTAACCATATCGTTATCACAGTTCGCAGCGCGGGCTAGCGACCTAGCAAGACTAGTCGCCTCGTCTCGAAGGGCCTGGAAGGCCACCAAAACGTGGTCCTGAGGCGTGACTCCCTGTAAGTACAAGTAGGAGTGCACGTTGGCCTCCCAGTTATCGAAATCCTCACCCTTCTTACCCTCTTTGTACACCCTGTCTACACGAACAGTTGGTCGGCTATGGCCACCGTCCACCGTCATCTTCCTCCTGCTAGCTATGGCCGCCGGTGTCTCTCTCGCCGGTTCGCTATGGCTGTTGTCTTCTTCACAGCCCACTTCCTCTCCGGGCACCTGCAGACCTCCACGCACAAGATACCAAGGCAGCTCTTCCGCATGGCACACAGGCGAATGAATGAATGGCTGGACGCTGCCTCCTTATTTATACTTCTTCAGAGGTACCCGGGTCCTGCCTCAAAACGTGTGGGCCTGGGCCAAAACGTGTGACCCAGGGAAGCTTCCAGACGTTTGGCCTTCTGGCCACAACGTGTGGAACCCACAGCGTGGTCCAGAACCTTCCCCACGTGCAGCCCCTACCCCTGGTACTTGCTGACTGGACTGGCCTACAGGGACC